AAATCTATTCACAAACAATTCAATATACTCAATATGAATCATAGAAATTAATTTCATATGAATTTACTAATTTTCCGGATAAAATCTGAAATTCATTAAAATATTCGGTAGTGGGACCCACGTCACAAATCTCGGAAAAACTTACGAAATCCGAACACTCATTCCGAGACGAGTCCGAATATATAATTAGTTTTGGAATCCGACCTCAATTCGAGGTCTAAATCCCCAAATTTCGAAATTCCTAAGTTCTACCCAAAAATCCTAATTTCACCATAAAAATTCTAGATTCTAGGTTGAAATCTTGTTATAAGATGTAAAAGATTGAAAGAGACTAGTTTAGAATCACTTACCTATGATTTGGGGAAGGAATGGTCTTTGGAAAATCGCCTCTTGTGTTTTAGGTTTTGAAGATTTGGGAAATGAATCAAAAATCCCGTCCAAAAGTCATTTTGATAAGCGACAGATGTCGCATTTGTGACCTGGGCTTCGCAAATGCGAGAAAAGTATCGCAAATGCGAACTCCTCGCATCTCTACTGCCTTCGCAAATGCGAACCATTTGTTTGCAATTGCGAACATTGAACCATCGCAAGTGCGATGAAAATCTCGCAAATGCGAGAATCCCACTCCCAACCCATCTTCGCAAATGCGGACAACCGTTCATAAATGCGGCATGTGATGATCGCAATTGCGATCCTGAACTTCGCAAATGCGAAGGTCCCCTTCCAACCCCACTGCTCGCAAATGCGAAGTTTCTTCGCAAATGCGATGCTCGCATTTGCGAGCCAGATCTCGCAATTGCGAAGTCTGCGGACCTGAAGCACACTATCTATGATTTTTATGTTAAATTAACTCTGTAACCTATCCGAAACTCACCCGAGCCCTCGGGGCTCTAAACCAATGGTGCATTCAAGTCTAAAAATATCATACGGACCTGTTCGCGCGATCAAATCGCCAAAATAACACCTAGAACTCCGAATTTAGCACCAAATCAAATAAAGTTCCCAAGAACACTTTAAAATTTATATTTTCTCAACTGGACGTCAGAATCACGTCAAATCAACTCTGTTTCTCACCAAATTTCACAGACAAGTCTTAAATATCATAATGAACCTGTACCGGGTTTCAGAACCAAAATACGGACCCGACACTAATAATGCCAAACATCAATCAATTCTTAAAAATAATTAATTTATCAGACTTTTAATTTTCATCAAAAATTCATAACTCAAGCTAGGGACCTCCTAATTCGATTTCGGGCATACGTCTAGGTCTCATAATTCGATACGGAATAACCGAGACCGTCAAAATATGGACCGGGCTCGTTTACCAAAAATATTGACCGAAATCAATTAAAATCAACTTTTTAAGACATAAATTCTTATTTTCATCAATTTTCAACATAAAAGCTTCCCGGTAACCTGCCCGGACTGCGCATGCAAATCGAGGATGGTAAAAATGAGACTTTTAAGGCTTAAGAGCGCAGATTCGAGTTCTAAAACATAAGATGACCTTTTGGGTCATCACAAAGTCAAATGTTGTTATTTTATTTCATGTTTGTCTTCTATTTAGTGTTGTCTGTGCATTTGGAGAATTTATCAAATGATAGCTTGGTCTATTTAAATTTTCCTACTTAGCTATTTTCACCATGTCGTCTCTTTTTTTATCTTTAGTATTCATAATTAATTTTACCTTTGAGAAATAACTTTAAACTCTAAACTTTTTGCAGGATAACAAGTATTCTCAGTAATTCTTCGAAATTCATAGGTTTTAAGCAGTTCTTTCTCGACATTTGATGAGTATCTATCAAAACTAGGGCAATTGAAACACGCTCTTGAAGAAGATGTTCATGGCCTATCTTTTATTCATCTTGGTAGAGCTTAAGAAGTCTAGCAGACCATTTGCTTTTTAGTGCAAATAATCTTTATGTATCACTGAAAATATTATGTAAATATGTTTCATCATTTTACTTTCTCATTCAAATATTGCAGTGTACTTTATATTAAAAGAGCACATAAATTGAAACGGAAGGTGGTCTCAATCAAGATATTTGGGAAGAAGGAAGATGAACAATTTTCCGAGCAATAGTTGTCTGGTCCTTTTTTTTTATTTAAGAAAACTAGATTTGAACAGAGTTAATCATGAGGAGCATCGTTTATAAGAAATTATTAAATTAGATATAACCAATAACATTTATGTACTTAATAAAATAATAAAAATATAACTACAAATAACATTTTGTATACTATAAGTTCTGATTTTAACTCAAAACGTTTTGGAACTTGTATGCAGTTAATAGTTGTTATATTATTTTTTGGTTACCAGCTACATAATAACTGATATGGGATAGACGTGTAAAACATATCCAGAAACTAGTAAGTTAAAAATGAGTGGAATATCATTCTCTAGGCGTGAAATATGAATGCAAGTTGTCTAGCTAGAAGACAGTGACATATTGTCATTTCTTTTTTAGCAGTGATTTAGTCATAAATTGCAAGCAAACAATTCTTTCCATCGATCCTTTCTCCACTGCTACTTATTTTGGAGTTTAATGTTCGACATCAAGAAAGGGAGCAACAGTAATATTGTATCCGTGTAACCTATTTAAGTCATGAGTTCGAGCCGTGAAAGTAAATATTAAAGTGTGGAATGTCTACATCACACCCCTTAACTAGGGTACTTCATTTTCCCGAACCCTGTGTGAATATGAGATTATTTGTACACTGGGCTACCATTTTTAATATTCTCCATAGGTATCTTTCCCTTTCTGCCCCTCTATATATTATGCTAAAAATTTACTCGAATTAGTGTTCATACTAAACCAATGAATGTAAGAAGTGTGTTTTTTATATGTACATCTTATCACTTAATTAATTATAGTTAAATGTTACACATTTCTCACTTTATTTTTTAACTACTAACATTATATTATTTAGTTTGATATATATATATATATATCGAGTGCGCTTACGTGCGACTTCGCGTTTTTGATCACATAATGGATTGAAGCAAAGTTGCTTTCAGAGCCTGATCTTTAGCTCTCTGGAACGACAATGAGAGAAGTGAGTGTCAAGAGTAAAATCCTTTCAAGTAATATCTAAGAGTTGGTTGTTGTTTGCATCGATCCAAACTATATACCCTTAACAAGAGTCAAATATCCACCAATAATTCAATAGATGAGTGACACTTTTTGCTTCCTTTTTCCTTCCCAACTGTTATACATTGGCATCAATCTATTCTTGAAACGATATGTGGCGTACAGTTATTAGAAAATACTTGAAGATTATTCCATTTTAGAACTAGAATATAATTTACATGAACATAATACACACACGCGGGTTTGATCAACCGAACCTAGTATTTTCGACATATATTTAAATAAACACGTAAAAAAACTACAAAACATTCAGCAATAATATATTTGAACTCATATATTATTTGAATTGGAACCCTAAACCACTAGACCATCTTTTCAAAATTAATTAATCTTCTAATCAACGTAGGACCAAGGATATTGATTTTTTATATCTTCCATATATATATATATATATATACATGGACCATATGAAATTAATTGATTTAATTTTGTATTACGCATTACTATTTACTAAATTGAATGAAAATTCCAAGTGTCCAAAGAGGAAGTGAAGGGCGGTGGTGATATTATGTGATGAAAGGAAAAGTGGAATGAGAACTAATGCAAATAATTCAGAGAAAATGAAGGCCAAGTCCTCATCAACTATGTATATATCACCACAGGTTAGTGATAAAGTAGTGTTCTTTTATCCTTAACTAGATGTTTCAGGTTCAAGTCCTAAATATGGAATCGCTTCTAACAGAGAGTGTTTTACCTCCCAAAATCAACTTTCTGCTACAAATTCAAATTAATCCAATACTGAATACTGGACCAGAAACAAAAACAAAAAAAGTCCAAATCACCTAGGAATAAAGAGCAAGAAAAAGAGAGCAAGAAAAAGAGAGCATGAACTAGTCTTCTTTATTGGGATTTCCAATTGGGAGATGCTTTTCCCAACGCACTCCTTGTCCTTTGGAATTTGTGGGCAAAAATCAATCATCGTCTTCTCTCTTTTAATTTTATTCATAGTACAAGATTGCATTATATGAAGAATTGGCACGCCTTTGCCTCTTCTTTAGAAGGTAGCTTCTGCTAGTTGCATGTGCCAAATTGTTTCTTTCTCCATTATTACTATGCGAAATGCACTTTATCAGAGGCAAAACCTTGATTTAAGCTTATGAGTTTGAGATTTTAATTTTTTAAATTTTAGGGTTTTAAATTAAAAATTTATATATTTTAATAAATTTTTTTTAGACAAATATAGTTTGGACTACAGTTAATGGTTCAACTAAATCCGTTATCGGCAAGCTGGCTCCCGCCACTACACTTTATTTACAACTTAAAGTGAAATTAATTGTTTTACGCAACAAGTTAACAAGTTGTCTCAAAAATGATATAAAAACATTTAATTAAGGCACATATGCATGTTACACCAATTCCATGTTCTGTTTGTGATAAATATGTGCATGTCTCTTATTCTTTTCGTCTTAAATCAAAAGATTTGCTTGAATGATATACATGTGAATATCCTCAAATAAAAGAGAATATAAAAAGAAAAATATGGACGGTTACTGATTGAAAAGCGAGTCGAGTTGCTGTCAAGCTCATCCAAGGACAATACAGTTTCACCCTCTTAGGACTATTATTGAAAATTACAAATATTTGTTGGAAGCTAAAGGAGATGATAAAGTTGTTTTCGTATGATTTATAGGTCACAGATTCGAGTCGTGGAAATAGACCCTAATGCAGGCGGTCTACATTGCACCCCAAAGGATGCGGCCCTTAGTCCGAATCTTACGTGAACGCGAAACACTTTATTCACTGGACTGCTCTTTTATTTAGTTATTTTTCAATGTCAAAGCAAAAAATTGAGTTGGCATGACGTGGTGTGTAAATATCCTAGTATATAACAACTGAGAGGCCAAACACAAGTCATTCTTTAAAACCCATTGTTCCATTCATCTTTTCTTTTACTTGCCATTCTTAAAACCTTCTTGTCAACCTTAAAGCTAGAGTAGACATCTAGTGCTGTCGAATCCTACCAAAACTCACATAAAAAAGTTTCATATTTTTAATTAGCCAACCAATTGGATTTCCTCTGACTGACTTTAAACCAAGATTTTGTTTGAGCAGATTCTTGTGTCTAGCTTATACATGTGAAAAAGGAAAAAAACAAAATTGGATATGCAAATTAGACATCAGCAAAAATATTTGTAATGAAGAGAGCAACGGAAGGAGAGATAGTGCAAGTCGAAGGAGGGCGAATTCTCCGGTCCACTGGCCAGAAAGACCGGCATAGCAAAGTATATACGGCAAAAGGTCCAAGAGATCGCAGGATTCGTCTATCTGCTCTCACTGCTATTCAGTTCTATGACGTGCAGGTAAAGACAGATTCAAGATTTAAATTTGATAAATTCAACATTTATGTTATTACTACTTAAATCCATTGCGCGCACTTTCATAATAATGAATTCAAAACTTAGTAATTATTGAAAGCTTAGTGATCTTTTTTATATATATAGTATTTATATATGTTCTGTATAAGATAATATTGAGCTCATTTGAACCCATTGAACGTAGGATCGGCTACGATATGACAAGCCAAGCAAAGCTGTGGATTGGCTAATCAAGAAAGCGAAAAATGCCATTGATAAGCTAGTTGAGTTACCTACATGGAACCCAAGTGATGATGCAGTACTAAAAAACATTCCCACAAGTACAGAACGTGAAGTTGGTTCAAGTGGAAACATTGCCTTAGAACCACACCAACAATCAAAATTTTCTTCTAGGTATGAATTCTTATCGTCTTATCTAAAAGGTTAAGCTCTAAAGAGGGTATATTTTTATTTATTTAATTATATTCTTAACAGATTCTTGCTCCAAAGGCAATTAGCAGAAAATCCAACTAGTGATACTTCATATGTGATGCCAGCGGTTGAACCTGAGACATCATCTGTTGCAGATACCTCGAAATCCTTCTTCCCGATAAATTCCGGGACATCATTAATGAATCTCCTAAGCTTCCCACATGAAGCAATGTCTAGAGATTCAATCCAAACTGAAGATCTTGGGTTATCACTTCACACCAATTTACATGACCAAAACTCCAACCATAGTGCTAATTTAGTCAATTTTGAAGCAAATTATAATCCAAGAATGGCAAATTGGATACCCCATCAACAATTTTTGTCCCAAGGGGGTATATTTTCTCAAAGGGAACCCCTTCAGTCCAATTTTTCACGGTTAATTAGTCATGCTTGGGAATTACAGCAACCAATGGCAAGTGCTGAACATAAATCTTCAATTTCCAATAGCTATTTCAATGGACATTTTCAATTTCCTTCTAGATTAATTCAAGGTGAAGAGGATATTAATGGAGTGATTTGCATTAAGCCATCTTCAGGTTCTTCAAGTTTTCAACATTGAATGGTTAAAAGAGTAATATTTTCATCCCTTAGGTAATCACTCAAATATCACTTTAATTGAGTGTGTGTTTGATAAGAAGAAAAATATTTTCCTGCAGAAACTGTCTCACTGTCCAAATGGACTATAGGAGAAAAACACAAGAAAGGAAGTTGTTTTTCCCTGTTATTTATGTCTTGAATTTTTTACTTGTATTTTAGGAAACCCATAATTTCTATAGTTTAGGAAACACGTTGTTCTAATAGATTTAGGAAAGAAAAACTAATTATCCTTGTCGGATTGGAAGACATTTCTTTTATAGGTTTGAAACTGTTTGGAATCTATATATAAGAGTTGTAGTTGGATTCTATAAATTGTATTGTATTTTTCTTCTCATTAGTGAAAAACTCTCTTTACTTCTGTGTTAGCCGAATTTCGTTAAATCCTTGTGTCATTTTCTTCTCTATTTGCTTTGTGTGTGATTGTACATTTCCCTTTCAATGAGTTTTTTTGAGGTTTTTTTTTTTTTTTTTTTGGTTGCTAGAAAATTAGTTATTTTCAAGAAAAATGATTTCCTTAATAGAAAACACGCCGTCAGAGTTCAATTTCAATCAGTTTCATTCTAATTTTCTTTAGTTTTAAATTTTTTGGACCACTTGCTCTTATGCATTTTCAGGAAAGTGGTTAAAGTTTATTGATGACCAATGACAATATATATCAAGATATCAATGATGTTTGGCATATTTCGATATGTGTTGATGTTACTTTACCCATGTTTTAACCGCTTCTTGATGTTATTTGATCTTTAAAATGCCCAACATGGTTTAATTATTGGTTTTATGACTAATTGAGTTGTGTGTGGTGAATTAGGGTGTTTGGAGTGCAAAAATATGAAGAAAAGGTGCTCTAGGTAGAGGAAGAGAGATTGGATGCGTCGCATCCAATCTAGAAAAAGATCAGATTTCGTGCACCCTTAACAGTGAAGTCGGCCCATAGCATCCGCCTTAGCATCCGCACCTGAGCAAAGCTGAGAAGTGGAAGACGAGGTGGATGCGAAGCATCCACCCTAGCATGCGAAGCTGAGAAGTGGAGGACGAGGTGGA